ATACTCAAGGCATCTCTTGCAAGAGCTAAAGTTTATATAAATATTACGTCTTACATTCTTATCAAACATCAGTTTTCCAGTATTTATGTTTTAGATTTCTTGCCACACTTTACAGGTGGGGCCAGGAGGGGTGGGGTGAATTCCAAGCCAGAAGATTTTTAAAGTGGCTCCCAAGAGAGTGAGGAGCTGAAAAATAAAGAAAGCAAACTTTGAATATGTTTGCAGCAGCCTGAAGCAATTTTATAAAGTAGGGCAAAAGGGCTTGCCAAAGATACAGGCATGGAAATTATTTCCCTTTTTAATGCAGAGAAATGAAAATGAGAAAATTGTAATCCTAAGAGGTAATTCACCCAAATGGAAAGGTCTCTTAGCGTGCCCACTAGTTACAGGTTTCCATTTTTTCCTAGTAAGTACAAATAGACATATATATATTATATATATATATATTATATATATATATATAAATTAATACAAAATTCAGAGAAACCAAAGAAATACAAAATAAAATAAAATAGTTGGTCTTCCTGCCTCTGCCTTTCAGCCCCTCTCTTTGTCTTCCTCAGAGGAGAATGTTACTGCTTCCTTCTCTATCTTTGCAGAAATATTCTATGCACATTTAGTTACATACATATATAAGTATATTTTAATACAAATGAGGCCTCACTGCACACACTGCTCTGGGCCTTGTTAGATGGACCGTATTTTATTAAGCCAGATCCCACTTAATGGACATCAGAACATGTCCAATAGTCCAATATTAACAAGTGATGCTGAAATAAATATCAGTGATGTATTTCCAAGTCTCTTTAGAATACTCAATGTGGGGTTTACCTAAGACATAGGAAATGTTTTTAAGGGCAGTTTTCTGGGTTGAGCTGTCTCATGGAAGAAAATATGAGAGCTGTGTTCAGGATTCCCTCGAGAGCAGAATGCTGGCCCTCCCCAGCTCAGACCCACGCCCAGCACTGCCGAGGGCCATTCATTTCTCCAGAACTGGCCTGGGACGGATCATACTGGGGATGCTTTCATTAGTTAGGGTGGAAAGATGTTTCATCTTTAAGAGGAATCACTTTCCTCTTCACAAGTGGTCTAGAAAAAACAAAGTAAAATTGAAGAAGTGGAAAACATACGTTGAGATGAGGCAAAATCCAGAATTGCTTCAGACCTGAGCAGGGAATCACAGCTCAACACGCAGAGAGAGAGCAGGGACCACCAAGGCGGCTAGAAACCTGAGTGAGTGTCGGAGACAAGGAGTGAACTTTTGTAACAGGCTCAGCTATAGAAAATTCTTGGGACACTTCCTTTCCCAATAAAACTTCACATAACAAAGTTGTTTTTGACAGGGTTGAAGTTTTTGTGGAAGGGATACGGAGGCCTTCAGTTTGCAGGTGCAAGAGATCCCCAAGATAAGTCCACTGGGGTTGTCAAGGGTATTTCATTTGTGGCCCAAGGTTGACACAGTTCAAGGACAAGGAAGAAAATTAGAGAAAGCCTTGCCCTGGGAACAAGAGAATCCAACCAAACCCCATTCTCCCTCTTTTTCAGGACAAGGTCATCAGGACACAATGGGGTTATGGGGAGGGGAGAAACAAAGGAAAAAGTACTTTATAATCATTACCTCATTTAATTCCTGCAGAAGGGGAGGGAGAGAGCATTGTTTCCATTATATGAACCACATTCCAGAAAAACTGGAGAATAGTAAGAGAGAAAAAAAATCAACCCTAATCTCATAATTGAAACAAAGTTATTGTTACCATACTGGCAATTGTTTTCACCCCGACATCTTAATGTATTTGTTATTATTTTTATATAATTATAGTCAAAGTACTACAACTGTATACCCTCCTTCCTAATTTTTCCTTAACCATTACAGGATATAAAAGTTCCATGTTGCTAAATTCTCCAAAATCATCACCTTTCTAAACATGAACCAATCATCAGCACATGTCAGTTTTACTTGGATAGTTCCTTATTGTTGAATATTTGCATTGCTCTTGGGGCTTTATTTCTGCATTATTTTAAATAATAGCACAATTTCAGATTGTTTTGTTAAGATAAATTTCCCCAACTGGGTAGGAGAGTAAGGGGCAGGGGAGAGGAAGCAAGTGGACAAGCATCCTAAGATACCCTGAGGAACTTGGAAATAAGATTTCCTTTGAGAGTTCTGCTGTAACAGCCGACCCATAATCAGTGAGAACAGCAATTTGAGAAGTTACCCTGAAGGGGTAGAGGCAGCCAAAAATGAAATAGTGTTGAAGGCACCAAAGTAGCTGAAGAATGTGACCATCAGAAGAGGGTGGGCTGGCCCAAGGAGTCCAGAAAAAGTGGTCATACCAGTTAGAGTGTTTGGGGGATGTTGGGTAGCCCTGGTTTACTCCTATTTTCTCAACATCATCAGTAACAACACCCTCCCATCTCACTCTCAAAACTGTCTTATTTCAGAAAACAAATTACACAGTCCAGTCCCATGGATGGCTTGGCAACAGGCAGGCCTTTCTCTTCCAGAGGGACCAGATGGATGCACCCTATTGCACAAAAGAGTTGGAAGAGGACAAGTTGCGTCTGAGAGAGGAGTGAGGCTGGGTGCCAAGCCCACCTGGACGCACGTTCTCCAGTGGGACAAGGCCTTCAGAGGTATGGCTGGGAAGGGAGCTACAGAGAAAAGCATAACACTGCATCCCAGGAGCTGGTGGGGAGGACTCTTGACCACCATGTCAGAAGAGGGGGGTACTCCAAAGCCTCCCCTTGCCTGCTGGGGCCCAGTGCTGCCCTGCAGCTATAACACCCGTGAACTGAAGGACCAGAGCCCTCCTCCTGGAGAGAAGGAGGCTCACCAGATGCTTCCTGGACATCACACATGACTCTAAGAGAGAGCTGACCTTGCAGTGCGGACATCTGCCTGTCCACCAACACTGGGGCAGTGTGCTCAAGCAGGTTTTGTGACCTCTGGGAAAACAAAGGAATGCAGTGCCAGGCTGGATCTGAGTGTGTGCAGCAATTCAGGCTTGACAGATGGGTGCAGCAGCCTGCAGGTGTCTCCCCACTCTGATGCCACACTCGCCATAGCACCCTGTGGGTGTGGGAAGAGGACCCCTAGGCAGATCCTTGATTCTCTGTCAATTAATTAATCATTATATTTTAGACATTGGTTTTATGAATTTGGACAGCTCAAATCAGTGTACAGGGGCTCACTCAACCCTGGGATGGTTAAGAAAATTGAGTTTATGATCCACAGAATGAAGGACAGGCCCATCCTCCAAACATTTGATGATTTTTTTTCTTTCATCTGCCTCTGGTTACCCCCTATTTTAACTTTTAAGTTAATCTGAAATTGACTTTTCATTTAGGACCAAATTACTCTTTGTCCCCAACTGCAAGCAGGTTATTACCATGTGATTTGTGGATACTACTTTAAATTATGAGTATTTGTGTTGCCTTATGAGCCATACAGCTCATTTATTCATGAGCCAAGGTCTTTGGATTTTATTCTGTTTCATTGATTTGTCTATTCTCAAACAATGACCAAATTTATTTTGAGCACTGTATCCTGATGACATTGTTTAACAATGATAAAAACCAATCTTTTTATTCAAAGATCTATGTTAAACACTCACATTATTATTTTCACAATAACTTCAGAATTTGTTCTGTTTCTAAAATAGCCACAAGTATATTGAAATGACCTACACTAAATTTGTGCATTAATCTAGCAGCAACTGATATTTTCACAACAGTCATTTTCTTATTCAGGAACATGATATTGTTCAAATGTGTATGTTATTTTTTTGTGTACATTTTATATGCCAATAAAGTTTTGGAATTTTCTTGATTGCAATCACACTGATTTTCCTTAAAAATACTCCAAGGTGTTTTATGATATTTGTTGTGATTCTTTATATGTTTTTTCTCATTAAATCTGCTTATTGCTGGAGAGGTATGTAATTTAACAGCCATCTTACGGATGACAAAACTGGGGCTCGGGGAGGTTCATAAATTGTTCAAGATTTATGAAGCAATTAAGCCGGGAAGCAGCAGCATGAAGCAAGTGAGGCCAAACCCCAGCGCCCACGCGAGCATTTCCTTATTCTGCCCTGTGTCCGGCCTCTTGGCAGCCTGTGGTGTCGGGAGTGGGTCTGATCCCTTCTCTCCTCCACGTTGACCTCCCTCCCGCGTCTCTGTGGAGACTGGCTTTCCATCCCACTTAGCTGCACTTTCATCTCCAGCCCCTTCCAAAGTGCCCTCCTTTTCTGAGAATGCAACTCCGTCTCCCACAGGAAATGTTCACGAAAGGAAAGCCTTTCATGCTTTCCATGCCACCATTGGGGAAGCGACATCAGCGAGCGGGAAGCAACGGCCGTGGGGCGAGGTCTTCGCAGCCGCGTGGGGATCAGCTCAGAAAGTGAGAGCAGATCGCAGACACCCGAGTCACCGGGCTGCGGCCTGCGCAGCTGGACACTTATCTGCTAGGGGCGCCTCGGGCAATGCGGGTGTCCAGCCCCAGAAAGTTGGAGGCTCCCGGGACTGAGGCTGGATCCTCCGCTTCAGGTGATCCATTCAAGTCACACTTGATTTCTACCCACCGGGCAACGGGCTTTTCCTAAAGGAAAGCTGCAGTGTGTGGAGTGAGCTGTGACCTGCCTCCTGGGCCAGCAGCCCTCCCCTGGCTGTGGTCAGTGTTCTGAAGCCGGTACCGATGATGGGCAAATCCCACTCAGTCAGCCGTGATCCCACTCAGCCTGGCTTTTCACTCTGCTGCTTCTGGGAGGAAGATGGGCACAGCATGGTTATTTCAGGTCCATGGAACTTCCAGTTTTGGGAGGCAACTTCTCTGGGTCTCTTTGCCACCACTCACAATTCTCTGTGCAATATCTTACCGCAATTCAGTTGAATTAACTGAAACATGGCAAAATGACAAGACTGGCCAGAGCCCACGGGAAAGCCGGCAAGGTGAAAGATGGCCTCGAAGGCCGCAGCTTGCAGTCTGTGGGGGCTGCGGGATTTAGGTCTGTATTGCCATTTAGTGCTGAGGACTAGGCGCCCCCTCCACTCAAGCTTGTGGGCTGTGTCAATCAGGGTCTGCGGGCATCCGGAACAGAGCAGAGGCTCGGCCCCTGCCCTCCTGAGACGTGCCAGAGGCAGGCACCTCTGAGTGTGACTTAAAGGAGGAGCGAGAGGCACCATGAAGCTCAGCTTCCCAGAAGGCCTCCTAGGAAATGTGTGGTTCAGAGGGAAGCCTGGGGAGGGCTTTGGGCAGAGAAGGGCAAGGAGGGCACTGTTCTTTCTTAGGAAGAGTCAGAAAGCCACTGAGCCCTCACGGGCTCCATCCCCAGATGCCTGGTGCTCTCACCTCACTCTTCTACCACCTCCCCCTATAACCCAGCTGAAGCCACTTTCCCCTCACCGAAGTCCTGCCACTGACTTCCCAGAAATGAGAATAGGCACGTTCACGACTTCAGAAAAAAAGGACTCTATAAATACAAATGATGGGAGACTCTCAGTCCCGATGAATATGTTTTTCAAAAGACCAAAGAGAGTAAGTAACAAAAGCACTGATGGTGTGAGGTCCAGGCGCTATTTTTAGGCTGTACTGCCTGGTTCAGGACAGACGGAAGATGGAAGAGGTGATGCTGGCTGCCAGTCCTGCTCTGTTTTGGTCCTCACCCCCGGAAAGCACTGAATCCTTGATTGTTTGGTTAAAAACATCCCAGAGTGGATTTTGTTGTTAGCTGCTCTTGATCTTTTAAAATTTCCTGCATGTGCTATTGACTGCCGTCCCGGCCTTGATAGAAGTCCAGACAAAATTGTCAGCCTGTGAGCTGTGGCTTTGTCATCAGCAGGCTCAGCCGTTCTGGCGGCAGGGGCAGGAGGCTGTGGGGCAGGAAGTGGGGCTGCGAGCCAAGCCTGAAGTGACTGGAGAATGGCCTCAGACCCACCCTGGCCTCTCATTTCTCCATTTCTGCTCCTGCATGGGGTGATGGATGATATTCTTATGTAAGAAACCAGGGGAGAAATCCTGCCGCAAGCACAAAACAGCCTTACACAGTGAGCTATCAGAAATGCCACTAAATGCTGCAGGTGTGCAGATGCAACTTGAAGGAGTAACTTGTGGCCCTGGGCTTCACTGGGCCGCTTCACCACCCAGCCCTATTCCGAAAGGGGGGACCTACCAAAACACTGACGGGTGGGCCCACTGCAGCCAGATTTCCCCATGTGCCCTAATTTCCGCATAACCCAAGTTGAGTCAGCCTCACTCTTTAAGGGTGTAGTGATGCAAAGTTCTCTTGGAAGGAGGGGGTCATCTCAAGACCCTCAGGATCTAAGTGGGGCCTAGCACATGGCTGGCACTCACTGACTGGTGAAGGAGAAAGAGAAATGGTGAAGGAGAAGGAAGGAACAGAGGAAGAGGAGAAAGGAGGCTGCAGGAAGGGGAAATCCGGAAACAGGCAGAAACGAAGACCTCAGCTTCACCCACCCTACCACAAATCTCTGAGCCAGGGCACTTCAGTAGCCCACAGGGCTGGAGCCAAAGGGGCAACAGCAGGAGGCGGCCTGAAGCAAAGGAGTCGAGAAGAGACGATGGCAGAGTTGCCCAGAATGTCCCACACTCCCTCCATCGAGTCCTTAGGCAGAGGCCTTCTTGCTGCTGAGTCCTTAAAATGGAAGAACTATGGCATGGCAATGACTTGGAAATTGTTCACTCACAGTATTTAGCAACCAGAAGCAGGGCCAGGCTCAGTGGCTCACGCCTGTAATCCCAGCACTTTGGGAGGCCAAGGCAGGCAGATCATGAGGTCAGGAGATTGAGACCATCCTGACCAACCTGGTGAAATCCCATCTGCACTAAAAATACAAAAATTAGCTGGATATGGTGGCACGCGCCTGTAATCTCATCTACTCAGGAGGCTGAGGCAGGAGAATTGCTTGAACCCAGGAGGTAGAGATTGTAGTGAGCCGAGATCGCACCACTGCACTCCAGCTTGGTGACAGAACAAGACTCCATCTGAAAAAAAAAAAAAGGAAGGGTTTGTGACATTCATTTTTTTTTTCTTAGCATGTGGACTTCATCAAAAGGAGGGTTTAGCTTTTTCTCTTCCTCTTTAGTTCCCCATGACTAAGGTTGAGGGGTACCTTGTGATATAAAGCTCTACCCTTAGTTCTGAAGGAAGTTAGGTAAACTCTAGAGTGGGAAGACTCGTGTTTCTGTCTCCTCAGCTACATAAACGCGCCTTCAACTGTTACATGCTGTGACTATAAAATACAGTTTTATAACAGCCCGTTTCACTTTTCACAGCCCAGATTCCATCTCAGTTTGTGGGAGGGTTGCTGAGGGAGGTGGGCCGGGAACTGGGGAGAATACACACACGTAGTTTGTCAAGGTGTAGTTTAACTGTAACTGCTGAAATAAAACATGAGAGGAATACCAACTTCTGTGAAAGGCAGACATAAGCACAGCCCTATCAAAGCTTCAGATGTGTGTTAGCCTTAAATATGTGTGACATCGGCTCCTGTGACAGGCCACACCGTAGCATTTCTCATGACCAGTTGTGCGATTATCCACGAGATCAGCCAGTGCGAGATGCCTCCTCTGAGCAGGACATGACTGAAGTTGCCTAGTCTTGTAGGAACCAGAGTCTGAAACTTACCCTAGAGTTAGAAGAGAAGCAATCAAAACAGAACACCCATGAACAGCACTATTTTTAAAAAACTCTTTTATTTTAGTGGAATTTCCCTGTGGCCCTTACGACTAAGAAAAAACAAAAAAAAAATGAAGGGACTAGTTTTCATTTCCATGGGCAGAAATACAGCCTGAGAGCACATTTTACCTAAGGGTATTCGATGATTTGGCTACTCTGAAAACCTTTCCCAAACCTTAAGGATTTTAAAAGGAGAGAGTGCTATTGCCTCTGCTCCACAGAGGAGGAATCTGAATGAGAGGAACAAGAGTTTAGACAAATTCACCCAGCATTCATTTGAAAGAGTCAAGTTTAAACTTCAGCATTCCCAAGAACCCAAATTTGACAGTACTGGAACCTCAGGAATTCTGATTTCTAAAGATCTATTTTATTAAAAGGTAAAAAATATAAAGAAAAATGCCCCAATATAGAGAATTGGGATCCTACTAGTTAAATACATTCTCTGCATGTGTACAAAGTCAGAAGTTTAGAAAAAAGGCAAGTCAGAAACTGTGACCTCCCTTGCCAGTGTAGCTCTCATGAGTAGCGTAAATAAAGTGCCTGATAATCCATTTCAAAGAATTATTTAATCTCTTGTAAATCTGGAGATAAGTATTCTAAAATTCAGTGCAAACTCATCTATATTCTTGTTGAGAATGCATTTGTTTGCACTAATATCAAATTTCTAAGCCCCCAGCATCTGCATAGTTTTGGAAAATTCTTTCATGCCAGAACCAGAGAAGTCTCGGGCTTCCTTTGCATCCATGATTCTTGGTCACCCTGACAGAACTTTCAGGTATTGAACGTGAACGGGGCTGGTCATTTTATCAGTATTTCAGGACTCAACTATTTTTCTGATCATAAATCCAAAATCTGAAAATTCTCATGTCAAAGAACTGAATTTGTTTGTGTTCATGCCAGCAATTTTCTAAGCTGAAGACACTTCCTTGCTGTGCATTGAAATGACACGTAGGTCTGCTTGATTGACTGTTTTAATCACCTACAAGCTCATCTAATTTTCTGTATGTCACAACAGCTTTCAAACGATTTCATAAATTTTGACCAAACTTAATACTCTTATCTCTGAAAACACTATTTTAAAAACAAAACAAAACAAAAACTGGTCATTGATTTTTAAAACACAAAGAAACTCTCCTGTTAGGTATTTTTGTAATTTAGTAAGAGCCTGCCACACACGATGGCCCTGGTGAGGACTGCCATTGACAGCCTGGGCTGTCAGCTCTGATCCCACAGTTCCCGCAGCACTCGGCCAGGAGCATTTAACTCTTTCTCTTCCTTGTGACTGCATCGGTAGCTAACAGGGAGTGCACTCTGGGGCCCTCCGTGGAGACTCTGTGGGGAAATTTCACTCTTCACATAGCAGAGGGGTTTGTGTAGGTCCAGGATATGGTGAGCTGCCCTATATTACACGGCCTACAAGTGGAATCCTGTCTGAGAGACGCCAAATCCCATACTTTTTCCACTGTATTGCTTTTCTATGGAATGTGAGAAATTGAAATACATCTTCCATCAAGTGTCCACCATTGGCTCCAGCTGGATTTGAGTCTAATTTACATTACATATAAACCCATCTACCTAATCCATATTATACGTAGAAATAAATCCTTCAGATGTCTCCTTCATCCCCAGTGCCTCCCAGGTCAAAACACAATGAGCCTGGCTGTGTAATTGGCTCTTAGCTGTGGCCTCCACAATTCCAACCTTGCCCTCTACCCCCATAAGCATTCGCCACCCAGCACCCAGCATGATTTCATAAGCACGTGCATAAATCCACCACTCCCTGCTCAGTGCTACCTGTGGCTTCCCAGGCCCTCAGAAGGAAACCCAGATTTCTTAGTGTGCCCATGGTACCCGCTACTGAAGCACACACGTGACTCCAGCCATTCACACATGCATCCGATACAAAGGGCCACCTCACTCACCACACTCCGCATTCTTTGCAGTCCCAAATGCTCCAACCTCGTTCGCACGTGGGGACCAGTCTGTCCCTGCCTGGTGTCTCCTGGCTTACTTTCAGGTCATCCAGTTCTCACCTGAAATGCTCCCACGGAAGCAGGATGGTCTGGAAGCCCAGCCCTGTGATTCTGCAGCACATCCTCTTGCCTTCTCTTCTTCACCGCACTGTGGCTCTCTAGCATTGGCACAATTTCCCTCACTTCCCTGCCTCCCACCACGTACTGTCAATTACAATATCAGCTCCCTGCAAACAGAGCTGAATCTGCTCTGGGCCTGAACTGTGGTTGGGAAAAACAGATATAAAACTCACCTGCTGATATTCCTAATGCTCCATAGGACTGTCCTCCCAGCACTGGACCAGCCTGCTCCCCTCTGGGTCTCTTCTCAAGGCCAAATGCACCTCATGCATGAGCTGTCCCCCATGCCACATCTAGGCTCTACCCCATGTGAAGGCGTCTTGAATCCTGCAAACCCCAGATCTGAGCTCAGCCCCACAAGTGCCACATAATTGGACAACATGACTCCAAGGAGAGCCTTGAACACATGGAAAGGGGCCCAAGGTTAGCAAGAGGAGCCCAGTTCTGCAGGAAGCCTCGGTGCAGTTCAGCTAAGATGGCTGGGGTCCTCTCACTGCCCTTCACCCTTCATTCTACTATTTCTGGAGCCAGGGCTCCTGGATGGTGGGGGTTTTCTCTACCCCAGCTGCTCCAGCCAGATCCTCCTCCCCTGGCCTCTTCCACACAACTTCCAAGCCTCCATAAGTGGCCTTATTGACAAAGACAAGACTCCAGGCTCAGAGGAAAGCACCTACTCTTGAGAGCTGAGAACTAAAAGCAAGGGCTCCTCTCCAGCAATGCGTTCTTCAGAGGGAAGGCCCCGGGAATGCAAGGAGCGCCAAGCTCACCCTTAGCAGAGCAGCTCCTCAGAAGGTTTCTATAAACCTCTGGCAGGCCTCCACCCACCTCTCAGGAGGTGAGCTAATTTCTTGGCTGAGTCAATGCAGTAGAAAGTCAAGATGGTTTGGTATCCATTGACTTGGAATTGATGTAATTTTTTAATCCAGAAAACTCAGTCTATGACAGGATTCATGACCTGGTGAATTTGCCACGTGTGGCAAATGCTGCCTCGCTCTCGGTTTCTGAATTCTACAATCTAGGAATTGGAGAGATCCTTCCGTCTCAGAATCTACCTTATACAATAGAACCCATAGGCGAGTCTCCCTGCAAAAGGCAGGATAGCCCTGGGAACCCAGTCTCCTGGGTCCTGCGGTGGCTCTGCCTCTTCCCACAGGAGGTTCTGTTCTGGTCCTGCAATCTCTGCATCTGTGACCAGTGTGGTTATACCCTGTGACTTCGAGGTTACTTTCAGCTCTGGGATTTCACACTCAGGATTTATAGTTATGGCTGGTTCCAGGCCCACCTCCTCAACAAGGTCTTTTTGACAGCCCTGTCTAAACAAGTCCTTGTCTGCCCCTCTGTGGCTGCACACCACTTGACTCTCCTGCCCCACTGTGACTCACCCGCCCTGCGTTTGCTGCCTCTACCTCCTGCATGGTTCTGCAGGTACTGAGATGCCAGGAACCCAGCACTCTCATTCAAGGCCGCAGCCCCAGGACTCAGCATGGTGAGCCTGGCACCAAGGAGGTGCTGGACATTTGCTGAGTGACCTGATTATAGACTCCACCTCTGAGGATGCATCTGTGGCAAAGGGCAGTTTGCCTCTCACCAGGCTGGGGATGCCGTGTGTGAGCCTAAAACATCCACACTGAGCTCAAATAAGCCTCGCTGCAGTTTGGTCTCAGGTCTAACCATTGACTCTTCTAATCTTATTAGCAATTACTCAAATAGAAAAAAAGAAGCATAGAGCTTCTTTGGAATCCTGTTTTAAAATCCTTCCTTTTTATTTTGGAATACAGCAGCTCAGGAGAGCTGGAAATCAAGAAACAAAGGGATTCATTCTCTGGCCAAGAAATGTTCAGAACCAACAATGGTCATGTTTATACTAAAATGGTAAAAAAAGAATGCTTAAATTAAACCATTATTGATTTAAACTCATTAAATAAGATAATTGACGTGGAATATTGAAATTAAAGACTCTGCAGTTGTGTTCTTCTTAGTCTACCTGGTGGAGAACATTAATATTTGAGTAATATTTGTCTTTAAAGAGTAGGTGGGTGGTGGACCCTGAAAATAGCTCCCCTTTTATATCAAATAAGACTTTAACAAAACAAGTTGGACTGCGTTAGAATCTGTTTACATAAATGGAGTTTGTAATTTTTTCTTAATGATTTAAGATTCTACAGTAATAACATGGCCACATGTGGACTTGAAGATATATATACTTTATAAAACTCTAACATAAATTAAACTTCATTCTATATTTATTCAACACATATTCTTGTTTCAGGAGAAAATAATTACTGTCTGATACCTTTGTGAGAGACATGCTCAGTAGCAGATTGTAATGATGACATGGTCTTGCTTTAATAAAAAAGAAATGGTATCTAAAAATAAAAATAAAAAGCTCTCCCCATTGGTGGCCTGAGAAGGGGGTGCTTGGTGAGGCTCAGCAGCTGTCTCAGCCTCAGCCCTCCAGGCAGGGCAGAGTGGAAGGCATGCAGTTCTCTGCTCCAAGACTGCAAATGTGGAGGCAGCAGAGCCCAGGGAAGTCAGGTGCCCTTGCCACTGCCCCTATACTCCAGCCGCTGTCCCGGGGTGGTGAACACTGAAACAGCGTCCAGGTGGAAGCTGGTATGGCTTGGATTTCCCCAGAGCATCCCTCATCACCATGTCATATTCTGCCAGGCAGCCTGCGCCATCCAAGAACATGTCAGGAATGGGGACTGTTTGGGGAAAGCGCACATTTTTTGTGTGCATTTGATGTGTTTGGTTTATTTAATTACTTTAAGCTAAGTTAAAGCTGGACTCTACTCTCCCATCCTCCTGAGCTGTCATTTATGGAAATCCCCATGTACCCACCAGACTTTTGTGTGAAAAGATAAGGCCATGTGAGCAGAACTTCGCCCGTGGACACGCCGCTGCGGGCTCGGCCGATGTAGGCTCTGTGCCCACCCTGCCCTGTGGCACAGCCCTCCCTGTCACTAGGTGACCTTGGGATGTTGTCTTCCTGCTCCCTGTTTAGACTTGCACCTCTCCTCTCAATTCTGAGGTCAATAAAGGAAGGGAGTCCACTTGAGTGGAAATGCTGAGGGCGTGGCCCCAGGGGCAGGTCAGGGCAGGCCAGCCGCATGTGCACAGCTCCGAGTCTCCAGTGGGGCCAGGCAGTTGGCAGCTCCAGGTGGCCCCCGTGGAGGACCCCATCCTCTGTGGTCTTGAAGCACGTTTGCCTCGCATGGCAAGCACTGCTGCCTTTGTTCTCCTACGACTCCTCGGGGTTGAGCCCTTGGGAACGAACATGCACAATAGCAGGTTGCGGAGGCCCGAGATTGTTTCTGACAACAGCAGCTCTCTGTGTGACCACAGCTCCCAACTGCATCTTCCCCAGGTCCTTTAGGCACAGACCTGGGGAAGCAGTCACCCGCCAAGTAAGAGGGCGACAAAAATAAAATGAGTCAAGCCACCCCACCCACCACCCTCTCCCTGAGAAAGGTGAATGTTCTCAGCCCTTTGACAAGGCTCTGCAGAAGTTAGTCCCTTTATGCAAATCAGTCTCTCCCTCTGCTGTGTGTGTGTGTGCGTGTGTCTGTGTGTCTGTGTGTGAGCGTGTGTGTATGTGTGTGTGTATCAGTGTGCGTGTGCGTGTGTGTGTGTGTCTGTGTGTGTGTACAATGGCATTGACCCGAAAGCAAAATCCAATAGGTAAGAAACATCCTGTTCCAACCATGACAGACCCTTCTTCCAATGCAAGTGGGTGGAGCACGGTCACCATCCTTAAGATTTCTGGTTCTCGGCCGGGCTCGGTGGCTCACGCCTATAATCCCAGCACTTTGGGAGGCCGAGGCAGGTGGATCACGAGGTCAAGAGATCAAGACTGTCCTGGTCAACATGGTGAAACCCCATCTCTACCAAAAATACAAAAATTAGCTGGGTATGGTGGTGCACGCCTGTAGTCCCAGCTACTTGGGAGGCTGAGGCAGGAGAATTGCTTGAACCCAGGAGGCGGAGGTTGCAGTGAGATGAGATCGCGCCATTGCACTCCAGCCTGGGTAACAAGAGTGAAACCCCGTCTAAAAAAAAAAAAAAAAAGATTTCTGGTTCTCAGTCTAAAAATGTGGGCTTAGCAATCTACTGAGTAGTCTTTGCAAGCATGCCCTGTGAGCAAACACAGAGTCTAAAACCAATATAAAAACAAGTGTCCATGTGGGTTGAGAGTCCTCATCAGCCAGGACAGCACATTCAACAGACTCAGAGAGCTTCAGCAGGACCGAGGCCTGGCCCCCACACTGCACACCAACGAAAGCAGAATATGTGGGGAGAGGTCAGGCATCTTTACTCTTTAAACTCCTCAGCTGATTTTAACAGGGAACCAGGGTGGAAAGCTCTCGGTCAGGCCTTACAGAGACATTGTGACTGGAGTCCATGGCTCCTCCCACTGGCCTGATAACAATTCTGTCCACACAGGGAACCATCCTGTCCTGACACACTCCATGTTGTCTAGCCAGTGGTTCTCAGACTTTGATGCCTGTCCAAGTCACCTGGGAGGATCATAAGGAGCACTGAGCCCCAGGGTCCTCAGAGTGGATGGGACTCCAGGGATATCTCAGTGCTCCCAAGTGAGTCTGATGCCCATCCAAGTGTGACCACCAAGGGCCTTGTCCTTACAGGGAGTAGAATGTGGCTGAGCAAGTACAGCTGCCCCTGTACACATCAGTAATTGACGGAAGTGCTCCTTGCCTGTGTCACAGTAATACCAGCCAGGAGCCAGCTGAGCCTCCTGCAGAGGTGAGCCAAAGTCAGCCCCCAACTCCTTCACCTCCTCCTCCTACACACACCAGAGATCCATTCTGGAGCCATGTCTGTGCAGAACCCAGTGTCCTCAGCCACTGCAGGCCAGGGTGGGCTTCTGTTCTCTCCACCTGTCATCCCAGGAGTGCTATCATGGGCTCTGCCTGACTCAGGGTGAGGTCTGTGACCTGTGCTTTAAAACACTGGGTCTCCAGACACTCTATCCATGAAACAAACAAAATAGGGTGAATCTGTGTACTCAAACTGGACGGCCCCAACACATGCTGTTTCCTGACCCCTCAAATTGGTGCTTCCCACCAGAACCGCCACCCAGGATATATGGTCTGTGAGGAGAAGCTCACTATGGGGCCTCCTCCCAGGAGACCAAGCTTCTGTCCACAGCTTGCCCAGGGCTCTGAGCTGGGTAACGTCCAAGGAGAGGCACAAGAATGCCTGGTCAGGGACTGGAGTCTCTGCCTGGCCTACCTAAGGGTGCCCTCAGCTGCAGATCCCCTGATGGGATGAACACAACAGGTAGCGGATGCCACTGAGTGTCCACCCCCGCAGGCTGTTTTAACGGAACAGGCTCAGTTCTTACATTAGAGCATTAAGTCATAGAAGTGAAGATTAGGATAATAAAAGCTTCCCCAGTTAAGTCTGTTTACCCCACGTCCTTTGTCTCTACTCTGTTTACTCATGTAAACTTTGTGTTTGATGGTCCTCTCGGGGGAGGTCAAAGGGGAATTACCCATTAATGGTGTTATTCTGGGCCCTGGAACCAAGACCTTTCATCATTCATAAAACCACTCTTTTAACCATGTTAATTATCCACAAGCATATTGACTTAGAACCTCTGTTATTAAATCTATGCTGAATAAATGTGAGGAGGAACAGAGATTTATGGTCAGTTAGCTGCAATCACCCTCTGAGAGAAGCTGACAACCTCCCTAGCCTACCTGAATTCACTGTACTCTGGTGTGTGAGAGTGTATTTCATTCATCCGTCGCTGTGTCAGGGTCTGCAGAACAGACCTCCACAGGTGATGATCAGTGTCTCAGGTGGTGACCCCGATGTGACACTCATCACCAGGAAAGATTATGGGAGACTCGATTAAGAGAAAAGCAGAATCCAGGGCTGGGTAAGGTCAGACAGCCAAGACCAGAGCACTCGTCCTGAGACTCAGGCAGACTCTCTGGGGAGGGACCTTGAAATCTGCATTTTTATCTCTTCCAGGTGAGTCTTATGCCCAGTAAGATTCATAAATGTTGTTCTACATGCTAAGTTTTGGGGATGTGAGCTCCATTCCCCAAAGCCCTGGCTTTAGCCTGCTTATTTCCAACTCTATCTTTGTGGGTGCTTCCCCATCACCTGTCTGCTAAACAATCCTAAATGCAGCTAGAGAGGTCCTGATGTCCAAGCTGGCAGGAAGCACAGGAGAGGCAGGAGGGCTGTGAGTGGGACACAGATCCTAAAGCCACTGATCTCTGGGCATGACTTCCTGCAGTTCTGAAAGCCCCCAGCTTTTAGGTCAACCCTTGAAATGCGAGCAGGTCATACAGAACCTTGAGTCCTGTGAAATCTTCCTCCTTAGAAGTAGACTCTTAATTTATAGAGTTGAGAGTCCACCCGAGAGGAAAGGAACTGGATTTATTGCTGGCAAAATATGAAGGATGTAACACGATACCTCTTCAAGTATCCTTATATATTTTCACAGGCCAGGCAGTAATTGCCTCCAGAGGTGAGGCCCTGATGGGTTAGGGGAGGAATCCTTCCCGCCAGCTAGGATGTGGGGGTCTGGGGCCAGGTACAGCTGCAGTCGGGATGCAGGACAGATCAGACTCACAAAAAGAAGTGGTGGCAGGGTCCACCAGGCCCAGGGACTGCCAAATAAGGAAGCCACAGAAACAGAGGGAAAGTGGCAAACAGGGTGAAAGAGAGCTGAAAACTTGCTCGTTACAAAGACAGGAACCCTACTCTGTTCCCAAAGGTCTGAAATCTCTCCAGAGGCTAGTGGTGTCCACGCAAGGTTTCCTCCGGGTGAATCAGGCACAGTGAGGGCCCAGGATGATCACTCTTGCTCCAGCCTGGCGTCTTCCCTTCAGGGCCTTTCTGCAGACAGAAAACTGTAGCCAAATTAGGATACTCTAGGGATCTGAAGGCACCAAGACCTGCTGGCCTGCGACCAGGGGCATCCAGATTTTCCACCTGATTTGGGGTGATCCTTAAGTCATCCGACTCTCATTTCCCTCGTGGTAAAGGGTGTTTATCAAAGCCCAGTGACTTGTGCTGAAGACCACCAAATCATGTCTGTGTGATGTCAAAGCCATGCTGGAAGAAGGGAAGTTTATTCTCCCAACTAGTGGTTCAGGAGAAGGAGGTACAACCCCCACAGCACTCGGAAAACTGTCATCCACCAAATAATCACACAAGTCATGCAAATGAACACTGTGGGAGGTGCCTCAAAGGAGAGAACACACACATTCCCTGCTCCTGGGGACTCCAGCAAAGCTTCTGTGAGGAACTCACCTTTGAACTAAGGTCTGGAGGACAAGTACATGCCAACAGACCAAAGAGGCAGTGGACAGTCCTGGGGGCAAACAGAGCAACATGCGGACACCTAGAACAGGGGCTCATGGTGAGATAAGCCTCATGAGACGTTGTGGCCAGAACTGGGAGGGCTGTGGGCCAGGTAAGGATCTAGTCTTTGTTCTGAAAAAAAAAGAAAGCATGTAAAGAAGAATGTAGCGCCACTGCAGGATTTTAGGCAGGACAGCAGCACAATGAAGCTTTTAAAAAGGCCGCACTGGCCAGATGCAGTTCAGGGAGGGGCTTGCAAGTAACAGGACCAGTGCAGAGAGGTATCCTGGCCATTTCCACCATGCAGGAGAGAGCTGCTGCGGCTCTGACTGAGACACTGGCTGTGGATAAAGACGGATGTGTCTGAAACCACTGACAGGCAGAATCGGTGGGGACAGACTGCATCTGGAGTAGATGAGGGTTTGTTGTCTTCACAGCGATAACCTAACAGGAGGAGCATGGGAACAAGGTGTGACTTAGAGCTCCAGATTCAGGTTCCATTTTTATTATGGCAAGACCCAGGTGCCATCTACATGGGAGCTTCAGGAAGACAGTTGGCTGTGTGTTTCTGGAGCTGAGAACAAAGCTCTAGAAAGAAAGTTCAATGTCTGTGTCAGCTTCACACAGGTGCTCACAAATCCAAAGTCCTGAATGAGGCAGCCAGAGGAGAGCTCCACGTAAGAAAGAGCAACAGCCATGACTGAGTCACAATTGCCCTCCATGGACAATGAGCCTCATAGCTGTGTCCAGTGTGGAGGGGAACCAGGAGAGAGAATGGGGCCTGGAGGCCAAGAGGGTGTGTCAGGAGGAGGGAACAGTTAGCAATGGCAAAAGCTGTTGAGACGCTGGAGAAGAGAGACAAAGAGAGAATTCCAAGGGCTATACTGAGAGATCATCCCAAAAAGGTTGGAAAGTCAGTAGGCAACAGTAGGCGACAGACTGCAGGGACACTGGGTTACATGTGAAAACAATCGGGGTGAGTTAGGAGATGTTAGTGCTTTTGAATATGTGAGAAGTAGGATTGGAGCTGTGCTGGGGACGATCATGGTGGCTTGAAAGGAGAAAAACAAAGCTAGGAATTCCATTCTCCCCATGATGCTACCATCTTGTAAGAAATAAGGCAGTGCGGGACAAGGCTGAAGAAGTCCAGGAATGGACGGGAATGATCAAACTGCAGCCACTGAGCTCTCAGGAACTGAATTAAGGGGTGACTCCACAGATAGGGAAACAAGAACGGCTTGGCTTACAGGTTGAATAGACCACGACAGGGCAAAGGCACAGACAACTAAGAGACTGGCAGGAAGGAAGGAGAGGCAGGTTCCATGTCCCCGTCGGAGCTGGATGGCCAGGGATTCTGTGCTGAGGCTGTTGTCAGGGGCAGATGTTTCAGGTCCCAGTAGAATGTCACAATGTGGAGATGCTCGCCAGCCACTGTAACCTGCAGACCTATGCTCAGGACACAGGGTAAGGGAGTGTGGGGCAAGCAGGGACTACAGAGTCCACTTAGGGGACACATGCAGAACGCACAGAGGGGCTGTGGAGGACACGTGTGGGGACACGTGCAGAAGGCATGCAGAGCCCAGGAGGAGAGGATGGTGGGCAGCAGGAGTGGCCAGGAGAGAGGAGACAAGGGTGGAAGAGGAGAAGGGCAGAGAGACTGCTCCCACCCACCATGGGTCGGGAGGAGACACAGGGCAAGACTCCTGAGTCCCCTGGTTTTGGAGGGCACAGTTTCCACTCAAGTGTAAGAGTAGGAGCCAGATGGACAGGGCTTTAGAGAGTGGAGGAGGGCAGAGGGAAGCAGCTCAGCACCACATCATCTGAGGATGCAGAGAGGGCCGGGAGTACGAACAGCCCCAGCTCTCAGCCCAGGCCTGCCAGAGGAATTCTGCAGTTGTCTGTTTTGGCCACTTCTGTTTGTGTGTGAATGTGTGTGTGTGTGTTTTCCAAGCTTTATTGAAGTATAACTGACAAAGAAAAGTTGAGTATTTAAGGTGTACAAGGCGATGTTTTGATATACACATGCATTGTGAGATTATCAGGATCAAGCTAATCACCATACCCATCACCACATTTTTATAAGAATACTTGAAATATACAGTATTAGCAAATTTCAAGTATATAATGCAGTAGAATTAACAATAGTCATCATGCCATGCGTTAGGTCTTCATAATTTAATAACTAAAAGTTTCCTATCATGTTTTTCAATAAGGAAGATGGGTATAGAGAAGTCAAAATGGCCAACGAACATGGAAAAAAAGAACAAGATTAATGGCAGCAATTACCCAACATGCTAATTAAGACACTAAAACATTGTCCACCTGTCAAAGTAGCAAATGCAACCAGTTTCTGCAGACACATCATTTGGGTTAAAGACACGACTGCTTATCATAGGACGGCATTTTCCCTGGCTCTGTCGCTGCTGCCATGGTGGCTCTTCCAGCCCCTGCTGTGGGCATGCCCGGACACGACCCCCCGCCTCCTCGCTTCCCTGTGGTGTGGGTTGCTTCCTCTAGAGCTGTAGCTGCACTTGAGCCGGAGTCAGACACAGAGGCCTCCGAGCCCCGAAGGTGTTGCAGGGTCCCCGGGGCTGCAGGAAGCTGCCTCAGGACCTGCTTTTTGTGCAGGCGGGAGGGCAAGCTCAATGTCTACTCCATGATGTCTTATTGATTGCCTCTAATGCCACAAACAGGAAATAGGCCAAAAGAGCCATATCCCAGGTTTAGAAACAGAGCCAAGTGAACACTGTAACTCAGCGTGGGTCAAGGAACCTGGCCACTCACACACAGCTGGCAGGTGGCAGAGGTGGGATTTCATCCAGGCTGCCAAAACCCAAATACAGACCCTGCCTGCAGCACCTCTGCTTCTCCAAGTCCACTCTGCCTGAAGGCCAGGTGCCCTCCCACCCAAGGTAGGCAGTGGTGGGAGGAATTCAACAGCGAAACCAGGTGAGGGCCCCACATGAGCACCAGGTCCCCGGCACAGCCACAGCACAGCCTTGCCCATGTGAGCCCATGAGACATCAACGCAAACCATGTGTCATCTTGCGCACAGCCAGCCCCTGGGCAAGCGCACACCAGGGCACCTGGTCACAGAGCAGGGTGGACAGACGAGGGCACACTGGCCCTGCTGGGGAGAGTAGGGGGCTGAGGAGCATGCTGGGGCCAGGGTTGCTACCAGCCAGCCTGGGCCAGGGAAACTATTCAACCTTTTTTTTTTTTCAGCAAAAACAATGACAATTTTCTGTTCATTGTCATTTCCTAAGAACACTTACAGGACAAAGTCTGGGCTGAAGTAAACAGCCTGGGAGCCAAAGTCCTTTGGCTCCAGTGAGCACGTTAGGCA